CTTGACCTCCTAACAACCCTTCTTAAACAACCAAGGGGTATTCCAGCTTTAAGGAACCCTCCCAACAGTGTTCTAAACCTAAGACATCCCACCCAAATTGCCCTCTTACTTCAGGTTAGGACAATTCTGTGGTTCCCTGCTTCACACTCGGGTATGCCTCCCAGCCCAGTCACAGTGGTTGATTCCTGCTGGAGAGGCAGGTCTCTCCTTGTGATAGTGTAGTTCTATCCCTGAGGACACAGACATCAACATGCAAACTAAAGATAAAGTGTGGTAGTTCCAGGCCTTCTAACCCCACACCCCTTGTTCCTACCTCTAGCACTGTGGACAATTATGTCTTTAACTTTTTATATTCTGTTTTTATTTTTAAATTGTTAGCTGACCTGAATAATTAATGGGGCAGAAACGCATGGTATAAATCAAATAAAATATGCCTCACATGAAAAAGCAAATGGAAAAAAAAAGACTGCTCTATATTAAAGAGTATTAAATTCTTTTACATGCAATTTCACTCTAAAGCATAACTAGATTTACTATTTATCAGTGGGAATCTAAAGACACTGATCATGTGTCAGCTGCAACATGATGCAACTGACCTAAAGTGTATAATATGCATAGGGATAAATTTTCTGTATCCATTTTAGAAATACCCTTTCCAAACTTCAGTTTTATAAGATTATTAATTACCAAGTCATCTTAAATCAGACAAAATGCCAAAACATGGTGAAGAAATCTTAGCCATTAGTTACTTTGATTGCAAAATTTAGATACTGCAGGAGGAAGTGAATGTTTCAAAGGTACACAGGTACAAATGTTGGAATCAATGAAGTTACTATAGACTGATGTTTAATATAGCTGTCTTAATGACTTTTTTACTCAGATGACAGAAAATGTTTTATCTTATTCATCCTAAATTTGCTGAATTGAAAGACCTGCTTAGTTTGGACAGATCAGGATCATGTGTTACTTAACTCAAACGTTAGTTTATAATTCTGGATTAGCTGTCAGTGCCAATATAGACGCCAAAACTGAAGGTACTGGTACTGTCATTATGACAGAAGGCTTCCTCCTATTTAAGGAGAGTGTCATTGCTACATATTACAAGGTGCCTCAACACAGGAGAGTGTTTGGGATAATATATCACCTCCTGAAGTACTAAAAACAGACCTAGCTGCCAGTTAACACTGTAATCTGTGATTTAACCTTGGTATCAATTGCCTTATTCCAAGAGAAATGCACATTATCTTGGGTAATTATGTTGAGTACTTATTGGGTGAACATCCGAGAGAATGTATAACACAGGGAGATGGAGCAAATGTCTGTCTCTTTGGGGACAACTTCTTCTAAGGATGTAAGCTTGAGGTGATATCATGCAAAGATAACACAGATTAAACAGAAATAAAAGTCCAAAATAAAAACAAGACAAAGAAATAAAAAATAGTAAGTTATAAATACAATTAAGTTCAGCTCTTCTGAGGAGACAAAGAGATAATGAAGTTTTCTATCATACCACTGCTACAGTCAAAGAAAAACTGATGAGTAAGAATAGAATCATATCATTTGACATACACAGCAGTGGTAGGGGCAGACCAGCATAAGCATACAACTCCCTGTGTGGTATAAACTACAGGGCTGGAACTGTTCAGATCCAATCCTTGCCTCCTTTTCTAATGTACAAACTACCACAACCAATTTGAACTGCAATCCTTCAGGAAAACATGAAGGAGATTTCTTATGTCTTACCTTCTGTTAAAAAAAATTGTATATGTCTGCCTTATGAATAATTGGTTCTTTTCTCCCCCCAGTGTTAAAACTCCTTCGTCTATCAGACCCTACATGCCAACATATGCACAGTACACCCCCATAAAGCAAGATTAATAATGAGTATTACACTCTAATTGTTATTACACTCTAATTAATTGTTCTAACAATGAAGATGTTGTTCTATTTCAAATGTAATTTTAAAAGACAAGTGAAAACTAGAGTTCAAATGCTTTCATTCAACAGTCTCCCTTTCAGCTGATTACAGCCATACAGCATCTAGTCAATGCAAATAAAAACAAAGAACAAAAACCACAACTGAAGTACACAAGGGAAAATTTAGCCAAAGGTTATGTTGTTTTCTGTACCAAGAATACAGGAATAGAATTCCTTGCCTATATATTGTCTTCTGCAGCATTGAGACAGGGACTGCATTTAGACCATCATCCAGACTATCATAATCCATGGTTTGGAAGACTAAGAAAGAACAGCAGAAAGGTCCAAGTTTGACTGCACTCTCCTCTTCTATTCATAGCAAATGGAAATGATTATGGTTTACTAGAAACAGAAGATTCTAATTTTGTTGTTACACACAGTGATAAAAGAGAAGGAAAGACTAGACAAGTCTGAGGCTCAGCAATGCTTATTTCCAATTCTCCATATTATGATTTGAAGGCCCATCTGAATATAGTTAGGACCTAAAACTAATGCTACTGACAATTCAGCATTTGTTCAGTTCAAAATATGACATCTATTAAAAATATTTTGCCAACTAAAGATAGCATTACAGCTACCCCTGTTCTGCTCAGAAATCTGTGGCTCTAGACTACAACAGAAGACTTAATGTTCAGTAAGAAATTTCCATATATTACAAAGGTTCCCAGTCTTTTAGAAGTTATTTTTACACATCATTTAGTACATACCTTCTGATCTGTGTGGTCTTGAAATACCAAGCCAAAGTAGTCCCTTTCCAGTAGGTTAAGATGCTCACACACTTTGTCAAACAGCACCTGTCCTTTTGCTTTTTTCTAGGAGAAAACAGGATAAATTAATTAAATATTTATATCATGTAATGCTAAATATATTTTATTTTGAGAATCTAATTTAAAACACACTAATACAAAAGAAAGTTATTCCATATTTGTCATTATTGGTTTCAATTTGCTGTTTTAGAAAATAAATCAAATGGGAGTAAATGCTTCAGAGTCTATACCCAGCACATAGGAAAGCTCAGATTAAAACCAAAGGAGGGGAGTCATTTATTTGGATAACTGAAATTTAAGTAGGACACATGAAAAATCAGCAGTAATTCTTAAAATTCTACTGGTGTGTATTTAATCATCAATGTCTCTTAAAACTTTTCTTAAAAAGCAATAAAATATATATAGGTTGTTATCCAAGTACTTAACTATCAAATAGTACATTATATTTAATGGATCAGCAATTATATTGCTGTCAGTAGTACTTTGTAAGTTTCTCATAATAAATCCACCAAAACAAATGAATAATTAAATGCATCATACTATAACAAATATTTAAGTATCTACTTGGCCATTAATGCAAATTCAGAACAGTTAAAGCTCACTACAAAATATATTTGACACAAAATCACTTAACAAATAAAAATTTAAATCAAAGATGATTAGCCAAAAAATTGGATGAAATCTATGAAAAATTCTACTCCACTAGATATGTTATGATTTCCTGGCTTAGAAATGTGAATTTTGGCAACTCATAATGTATACCAGTGGTCCCAAATGACCACTGGTGTTCCCAATATTCTTTAATTCAAGTTTTTTTTTAAAGTATGTTTGAATGAAAATATTTTACTGTACTTTGAGTATTGATAAATTTTTTAAAGGTGGCTTAACTCCTAGACACCAATTAACACTCTCAAAGGAAATTAAGGTTTCACAAACTCACTGGCAAATTCAGTGATGCTCCAAAGCACTGAATAATAAGAATTTGTAAATCTGGAATCTTTTTTTTTAAATCAACTACTTGGGTCACTCCTAACTTAAGAGGGCAAAACCAAAATACAACATATATTTTCATTATCTCTTAGTTCCTAGTGAAAAGAAACAAAAGACCACCTCTCAGACCTCTCTGTACCAAATGCTAACTTTTTTGAATTCACAAAGTATTGGAGTAATTAGAGACCTATGCCCATATGACCACATAGCCCAACATTTAACAGGCTTGGTCAAGCTAGTACAAGTTATGTTAAACTGTGATGTGTGAACCAGGCCTGTATGTACCCAAAAAAGTTAGCCATTAATATTCTTTTAAAATATTTTAGAATTATTGCTGGGTAATCATAGTTATCAGATTAAAAGGGGAGGGGAGGGGAGGGGAGGGGAGGGGAGGAGTCACTGTTGGGCCTTGAACCTCTCCTTCCACCCAAATAAACAGTCTCCCTAAAAAGCAAAGCACATGTTAAAATAATCCAATGCATGAGGGAGTTAAAAACTCTAGGTACTTTTCTGAATTAAATGCCTTTACACAATTCCACAGTGGAAAAATTTAACACTGAAATTTGTATAAGATATATTTCTTGGTCAGAAAGAGAACATAAAAAGGGACAAATAACAGTGGGAAATGATGAATGAAGCACTGAGACAAACAACAGTGCAAGGAATAAAAAAAAAGGACAAACAAGCACACCAATTGGATTGTAGACAGAAGGTCTTTGAGAATAAGAACAGACTGTGGCAACTATTATTTGCAAATCATATAACATCTCTGGAAAATAATGCATTGAATTTGTAGGTTGAATCCTCTTATCTAAATGACAAATTATTACAGTTAGAACTGTTTTATCTAAGGTAGCCACAAACTTCAACATTCTCAGATACCACTGAAAAGTCAGCACGTATCTGCAGATTTCTGGTTATTGCTATAATCTGGTATTAATACAAAAAGCTGTACCTTTTCAAAACCACATCAAGTCATACAGGACTTGGATAAGTATTGCCTTCCCCTTTGATATTCTTCCATTTCTTGTGATGTTAGCAACTATGAAGATCCTGTTAGGCCCATTCTGTTGCCTTATCTTCATTTTTATTCTTATCTGCTCTTTTCACTACAACCTGATACTACATCCAAGCTCAAAGTATCATTTGACTATTAGATTATTTGGCAACCACAAAACCAAGATTCCAAGTAAAGAAAGTTTTAATAAACTTGTCTCCAACCTAAAGATTTACCTCTGACATTTCTCCATATTTTGGTTCAACAACTGATGAATGTCTCAGCACTAACCAAACCACTCAATTAATTTCTGTTATATTTTGCCTAATGTTAATCACTTACTTTCACTTTTGTGTGGCAGTATTACCAAGGTTTTTTACTACTTAGCACTGAATTATCTGAGGAGACCCTAATACTTAGCATAAGCCTCCTTATTTTTGCTGATTTAAACATTAGACTTAGGAAACATCCCCCTGATTTAAAGCAGAACTGTTAGCCATCAATGTACTACTGCCTAATGTTACATTTGTAATGAAAAAAATATAACGTTGTAGTGATTTATTGAGTCTTATCTCAGTTCATTAATTTTCTTCTTTCCTTGTATTAAATATAAGCTTCAGATGTACTCACAGCCAGGACCATACAGCCCAATAAAATCTGAATCAATTAGAGGGTAATAAAAGTTACTGGAATGATTTACAGAGGTTACAGGGAACATGAAAGAACCAACATTTTTTCAAGTCAGTTTAATAAAAGAGATACCCCCAACTACATGAAAATAAAAAGAGTAATAAGTATAGCAACATTTTAATGAAAATAGGGCATAAGATGCTGATAGAAAAAATCTAATAGAAATAACTACTTTGTTACCATATGATTTTTAATATTTCCAGATGGCACAGAATATGTGAGCATTCAATTATATTAACATTTTAAATATTTTGGGGCAACAAAAGTACACAGTAGGCAAGATAATATTTCAAAAGGTTTGTTCTTTCTTCTGCATCAAAGAGTGAATATAATTTTATTAATAGTTAATAGTTAATAATTTAATAATTAGTACTATTAAATATTAATATTATTAATTATTATTATTGATGAAAAGCAGGAAGATATACTAATACTGGGTGGAAGCATCCAAGAGAGTAAACTTGGGGCATGTAGCTTGATTTGAATTAATAATTGAGAACAGAGCAATTAGCCTTCCTGGCTTTTGAAGATTTGTTGAAAAACTGAAATAGTGTCCGCTACTGGCAGAAGTCAAGAGGCACAGCATGCTGCCTTATATTTTCAAGCAAGTCCTACATCCCTATTTGGCTATTTATGGCATTTAAAAAGCAACTATAATGTGACATTTTTGAGACCTGGCAACCAAAAGGCATTTTTGCAATTGCTTATCATGCAGATTTCAACAGACGCCACTGCAATTCCAGAGAGGTTCCTTCGAGTGCCTGTGTGTAGGCTCTTGCAACACTAAAGTTATTGTGCCTGGTAGTCAGAGACAGAAAGCGCAAAGCTGAACAAGCTATCTATGCTGTTGAGCTATGTACTACACAGTAGTTGTGAGAAACACTGTACAAATACAAAGAACAAGGGAAAAAAGGTATGCAATAAAACTACCAAGCTCAATAAAAGCATTGTTTGTTGTCCAAAACAAATCAAAGCACATTCATACCGAACTGAACTGCTCAATTTATATTCAGCATTTACAATTTTAACTGGATCATTCAGTGTTACATGTCATCAGCTGAAACACAGGGAATAATGTAAATAAACCCATTCAATGCAAAACTATTTCTAATAATAGACTCAGGTACAATTTGGTGGGAAATGGTTTCTTAACTTGTATTCACTGCTCAAGAGATTTTACTGAGATTTGCTTCTTGCCTTATGTATACAATTTATCATTTAAATTGGACTTTAAAACTTAATAAAAAAATAAATCCAAGGTATTTAGGTAACCTGGCTTAAATTAGATTAAATATGTAAAAAGTTCCAATTTAGACTTGTATTAAAAAGAAGCAAATTCATCTGTCAAACACATTAAATTGAAATAAGTTTTTTCCTACGTAAAACCCTTGGAAAAGGGGATAGAGTGGGGTATATCTGAGATATATCTGACTATGCAGTTAGGCATCACAGAATCACATAAGCCATGTATTGTTATTATTATTATGCTTCCTACTGAATTTACAGCTAGCAAATCTTCAATGGGCTGAATATCCAGAAGACATCATGGTGTACATCACCAGTGAAATCTTGTATTTTTATTTTGTGCCTCCAATGCTACATTTTTGGTTCCCAAATAATAATATATAAGATTCTAGTAAGTAAAATCCTGGACATTTTCCATTTCATTATAAATACTATTTTGCCAACTGACTCTCAGCACTTACAAAATTCAATTTACCACCCAATTTTACTGACCAATCAAGCTTAGGTTTCAAGAACATCATTTTACTTAAGTTACCATTCTAAAACTTCTCCCTTCTCTGAGCAAAAATTCTACAATGCATGTGGATTATATGACCATTATGCTCTTGGGTAGTATGTAGTTAACAGTATTTTGTTAGAACAATTGAAGAGAATGTACTCATGCTGAGAAAATATTGATTTTAAATCTATCATCTATCTGATTTATAAGAAAATATTTAAATAAAAGAAATCCTGTTTAATCAGACCAATGAGCCATCAAAACCAGTATCATGGACCAGCAGAATGGCAATGTTTAGCAGAAAAATTGTATAAACTGCATTCTAATCTGTGCTAGAAGCTCCTCAGTTGTATTTTGTATGAAAAGATAAATGTGGAAAAACTCTGTCAGAATGGATATTATATATAGCTTTAGTCTATCGCAAATTCAAAGTGAAAATAAAATTAGTATGTTATTTTATGTTATTTTAGTTATATTTCTAAATTTAACACTACATTCATGATTACCAATTCTTTTTACAGAAAGTGTACAGTTTAAAACAAGAAAAATACTTGGAATAATTTAACCACAATTTATAAGTTTTAAACTATAAATAAAACATTTTATTTTAGCATTTTGCTAAAA